AATCTAAACTTCTTTACGCGATTAAGTTATCTCAGTTCAAAATCTGAACGCTTGTTCCTCGGCTTTTTTGCCTTGCGTCGCTGGTGAATTGCATCTCTTTAATCCCGATACCTGAATATTTTATTACGTTCTGTCTTATTATCTAATGTGGCTTGGTTATTTACTGTCCTTTACTTGATTCATGGAATATTCCGTTCTGTACTTTGAGGTCGATTTGGACGGCTCTGACCGAAATGTTGTTCCCTGGGTGGACGATATACTTTCGTATATGCACACTCTTTCAATACCTTCCTTATAAACTAACGATTACGTTATCTTAATCAGCATGGACTGGCTTTTATGTGGCCAAATATAACTTTTGTTGGGCTTATTCTTTTCACATAATCGACACGTTATGGACTACCTAGAAATTGCTATCTTATTTTCAGTCCCGATTCATCTACATTTTGATGTTTTTCGTCCCCGTCGAACTTTCATTCTTTCCTATTTCCATATAATGCTTTAGTGTATCTCATTTAGTTTTCCTATTTTTCCTAATTATCATCGCATTATTTATACTTCCTTGCTTACATGCCTTCAACACTACTTATAATTTAATTTAATTTTTTTCACACTTGTTTGCTTTGTTTTTTTGAATCGATCGATCGATTTCCCCCGGGTTCAATTCCTAAAATCCCCCTCTTCCCCATATCCATGTGCGCATACGAATGGATGCATGCCGCTTATCATGGCCGCATTGCCGACCATCTCTGTCTCATCTGCTTTTATCTAAAGAATTATTATTTACATACCTGGATCACATGACTTAAGGAAGTGACGATTTAGCTTTATCGCCTAAGCCTTCACTGTCAGCGCTAAACCGCTCCATTTTAGAGGTTTTCAAGTTTGACAATCAAACCTCGTATAAACGCTTGTATATATCCTAATTTCTAAGACTAGCTGCATATGTACGTGCTCGCGTGTTCTCGGGGCTTCAATATATAATGTCCGACTTCTAGGTCATCACTCTCCCTTTTTGGACATTCCAATGGCGCAGTTCACTGATCGCTCGCTCATTCCTATGCACTGGTGCACATGAACACCAGCACACTTAAACTCTAAGTCGCACGATTTATATGCACGATAGACATACTCTCATAAGTATACCAACAAGTCTGTAGCGATTCTATTTATTCTAATTCAATATCTCTGTCATTTGCTTGCTAACTGGCTCATTCGTTCACTCTAGACCGCTCCGAGTCTGACAAATAATCTTCTCTGCGTGGGCCGACTTTTGGCATTGCGAACAGATGTGGACGAATTTGCTAAGTTAGTGTATGATCACTTATTCACCGCACGGTTGCTCTTGCTGTCCGATTGGAGTTGCCCTGTTGGCTGCCCTTATGTCTCACTTGATAGACGTACTTTTGGTTTTGTTCTGGCCCAGTTAGACGTTGTCTCAATGTTTCCGGCTTCGCTGCCATCCTCCTTCCATCTTGCTGCCTAGCATGCTGTCTACATTGCTCTTTTGTATCTCTTCCTATATTCTTCTTTCTTTAAGTGTATCATTTGCTTTTGCTTTGTGCCATACACTTTTCCCACATCTCCATTTATATTCAAAGTAGCCAGACATACATAGGTAAATTATCAGGACAACTGGAAGATGAGAATGCATACATAGGCATATTATTTTGGATAGGTACAGATTATCTTCCACATAATGGCTATTTTGGTGGTAGGCCATCTGAGTTACTGTTTTTCAGGTTATACAGAGGGGCTTGACCATTCCACCGTTTTTAGTCTTGTCGCTCGGACAACCGCTATAAATATACCTGGTCCTGCATCAAGTACGCATGCTAGGTTGCGAATCAAGCCATCGAAACATCATTACGAATATGCCTCTTACCTCTATAGTTTGTATCGAAGCCGAGATCATGTTTACTTATGTGCAAGATCAATTTGCGCTTGTTCATAGTCCTACTCTCTCGTCAGTTTGTCCTACCCCCTAATCCACCCCTCATCACCAGCATATTCTTTCTCATCTTTTTATTTTTACCTATGATAAAGTTTTGTTTTACATACATTATCTTTCGTCATTGCGATTTTCACATTTTCTTACTATGGATCTTCACTTAAATCATTGATTGTTTAAACTGTGATTTCACATTTTTTTGTTGAGACTATCAGGATAGGCTGCTGTTCCCTCTTGACTCTCATCTAAATCCATAAATTGGCATGTTTCCTGGTGAATGGACAGGCCTCTTCGTATTTATGTAGTGCTTATAGGGTATTACATTGGTGGTAATTTTCCAGCCTGTTTATCTATACTTGACTTACTATCAAGCACTTTTCAGCCTAGATTTTGAATTTGTTCATCCTCATTACTCATGCTTCTCCTTGAAATGAAAGGTTATGTAAAATTTAATGGAAATCATCTGCTCTGTTCATTACCTTAAACGAAATAGGATGAACTCACCTCATGTATATGCTTTACTGGTAGTCTCGAAAATATACTAACGAAAATAGAAGATTTTATTCGGCTTTGACGATTTATTCATATATATTCATGTGGATGGGGGTTTTCTTATGGCTGACTACGGAATCATATATATTTTTTTATATTTATTCCTTTCATCGTTTAAATTTAATATCTTGGGTCATTACCTTCATGTCACTCAACTTATCTTTCAGTAAAATTTTCTCTAACTTTTTAAAATTTTGTTTTAAATTGATATTAACACTGTTATTCTTCTCTGTTCATATATCTGATATTTCATGATCTCTTCACATGGAATTAAGAAACATTACTTCTGATCCCATCTCTCCTTAGTCTCGATTTGCCTCATCACATTATACTCACTAAAGTATCTCTCTCCGAGCAGAACAAAGTTTTACTTTGAAAATTTCACTTGATATTTCCATTACGCAAATTTATTCTAGGTTTGTATGATCTTATTTTACCAAATTTTATATTCTCCATTTTGTATCACCAGTTCCTTATATTCAGGACAGAAAATAATGCACTTAGTCTTATGTGTAATTTTTAAAAACCTTAACCACGTGAAATATAGAACAAGTAAATAATT